AGATCGGTCGCCGGCCTCTGGAGGCTGCTCACAGCGGCTCTTGGCAGCTCACACGGGCTGCTGGCCACTCACGCTGGCTGCCGGCCACTCACGGTAGCTTATGGCAGCCCACTGCAGCCTCACTGCAGCCTATGCCGTCGCCGGTGACTCACGGCAGCCCAGCTCCAGGTTGAGCTGTTTTTCACCATCTTAACTGTAGAGGATGCAGTGTCACTGGCCCTCGTGTGGGATCCGAACCGGGGCCCTCTGGCATCCCAAGCCAGCTCTTAACCAATGTGCCACTCGGCCAACCCCTTAACTGTAAATTTTTGAATGCTGAACAATCATGCTGTTCTGATAAAAATTTAGGGTCCAAATTGAGATGTGCTATAAGTGTAAAATACATGCCAGATTTCAGACTTATGACAAAACAGGAGAAGAAAAGAATACAAAATATATAAAAAAATCTTATTAAAAGTATTTCAGCTTGGTTATACAGTGAAATTACAATATTTTTGATATAGTGTGAGAATAGAGTACACTATTATAATTAATTTCACCGATTTCTTTTTTACTTTTATTAATATGTCTACTAGAAAATTTTAAATTGCACATATAGCTCTCATTACATTTCTACTGTAAGTGCTGTGATAGCCTAAAGAGTACAAAGCTTCACAAGCGAGCATAGTCCAGGTGAATTTTTCTCCCCTGAGAAATGACTGATATTAGAAAAGAGTCTCCTCCAGCTTCTACGTACTGGCCAAATGGGAGGATTTATCTCAAACCTCCATCAGCCCGACTCTGGCAGTATGTTGTACCTGCTTTTAGTCTCAGAAGTTCAACTAATATGAGATTTCTGGACAACACTGCCCCACCATTGCCTGAGTCTCTAGCCCTACCAGCAACCAACTGAAGAGCCTGCCCAGTCCCTACATTTCTGTAGCCCAAGGAAGAACTGGACTGGGGACAGTATCAGGAAAACCATTTGCCTGGGAACTAGGCAGCCTACCCTGAAAGAGATGCTGATGTTAGGCAAATAAACATTCCACAACACTCAAAGGATCTACAGGGAATTTGGTCCAGCTTCTACACCTTGAATACCATCCTCTAAAACCAGTTCATACTCAGCTGCCTCTGTTCAGCACACCAAGTTAGGACCCAGCTAGACTGAGGACAACTATTGAAGATACTCAAAAGCACTCGTGTTCTTGGATGGGCTTTAGCTAGACGTCTAGACTTTCTACTATTCGTTGGGAATATGGTTCTCTGGGAAGTGATACATACACATTATTTGTGTCACAAATGATGTTTAAAAGCACTCCAGTTACATTGGGTGCATTTTATTATCTTTGGGGTATAAAATCTAGATGAACACAGATGATGGATTAGTTGATGATTGTTCCTGGAGAAACCACAAAACATCACTAGGATGCAGACTTTCTGACTCTGAAGTCAAAGGTTACCCTCCCCTGCTGCCATACATTATACCCCTCCTTTGTAAACATCTCATTAAATAGGCATACACATATAACATAAATTGAAAAATAAAAGGCAAATGAACTATAGAGATGTCCATTACAATTTCTCCAGTTCATTCTCAATCTTCTCTAATTAGTCAAGATCTGTCTTGCAGGGAAACATCCCAAACTGAAATTCATATCTCCACTTCTTATTTCTATGCTAAGGGTTCCTATTTTAATCTTTTCACCCCCTACCTCTCTTCTAGGCTCTAGCATTACATTTCCAACTGCTTGTTGTATTTTATCAGTTCCTTCCTAAAAACACACACGCACATATTTAAATTGTACTATATATAACTACGGCATGTTCGAAGGACTTGAAAAGTGGAAAGAAAAATAAAACTTGGTAGAAAGGATGTAGTACATTACATCTCAAGGGAAAAAAAAATCCTAATTGTGAGGCAGAACTTTGTACTCGATGACACAAGTTCTCAGGTTATCCATCTCCCTTCCCTGGTCACTAAACCATGTCTGAATTATTAATCTGGCTTCTCAGGGAGCTCAACACCTGTGAAAGTGGATCTTCTCAAATTTAATGCTTTTGTTTAACATAGGCTAAAGGTCAGTTATTCTCACCATATTCAGAATTTTTTTTTAAGATTTTTATTGGGGAATTGGGGGGATGGGAAGAGCGCTGGGGAATTGGGGGGAAGGGGAACAGACAAGTTGCTGTTGTTTTAGTTCTTCAGTCTAGTTGTGGAGGACGTTGCTTCACTGGCTCAAGTTGGCACCATCATTGTGCTCTTCCCAAGTGAGGCAGATCAGTCGCTGGCTTCTGGACAGCCAGCTCAGGGTGGCTGCTGGCTGCTCACGCTGGCTGCTAGCTACATACGGTAGCCCATGGCAACCCACTGCCACAGGAGCTGCAGCCTATGCCATCGCTGGCGACTCACGGCAGCCCATCTCCAGGTTGAGCTGTTGTTCAGTATCTTAGCTGTGGAGGACAGTGTCACTGGCCCTCATGTGGGATCCGAACCAGGGCCCTCTGGCGTCCCAAGCCAGTTTTTAATCATCGCACCACTCAGCCGGCCCTTCAGAAATATTTTTATTCAATACATATTTCTTGAGAATGTGCTATATTCTAGGTCCTGAAACTGCAACACGATAAGTGGGACACAGTATTATATATTTCCCCTAAAAAAACAAATAAATCACATTTTGTTTTACCTAGTCTGAGGTATTAGAAAAGCTTTCTGAGGTAATGGCATTTGAGAATGTGTAAGGACCTTGGGGCAAAAAGAAGTAAATTACTAAAGAAATATGGTTCCAAACCTGGTCTGGGACAAAGCATTATTGCTGGGTATATTTAGTACTCTTCTTTTTTTGAATCAATTAAAGTGCTGATAAAATGTATAGCAATTTTCAATAACCGATTATTTACAGGGTTAATATTTGTTTTGGGAAACCAGTCATTCACCCGTCCACTAGACAGTCAAGAGGCTGGGGATCTTTCAATAAACATTCTTTTTTTAAAGTAACCTACATTTTCTATAAATGTCTTTACCAGGAGAGAAACCTTTATATTGGCCTCCCAGAGGTTTTCCAACCCAGCAAGATTATAAAACTTGACACATGCTCATAGCTAAATTGCCTGGGAAGTTGGTTGTTGCTATTGTTTCAACAATTACTTCTAGGTTCTACAATTAGGCTAACGTCATGGAGAACACAAGTAAATGGGGGCAGTGGACATGGTGGCAAAGGAAACCAGGGGGTAAGCAAGATTCAGATTGAGGAAGAAATCATTGTCTTTCAATATTTGAATCTAGTCTTAAAAGCAAAATACAAAAAGAGTTGAGGGAGGCGATCACATTTACGCTTTCTAAAGATCAATCTTTCCATAGCAGTGCTATTCAATAGAAATAGAAATATCAAGCGAGTCATAAACAAGAGCAACATGTTTAATTGTAAATATTCTAGTAGCCACATTAAAAAAGTGAAAAGAATCAGGTAACTTAATTTTAATACTAGTTAATATAACCCAATATATTGAAAATAGTTTTTATTTTAACATGTAATCAATGTAAAAAAAATATTTATTTAGTTGTTCATCAACTTCAACTCTATCATGATAACTTAGAATATTAAGATGAAATATTGAAAATTCTAATGATAAAGGAAAGAATTAGTCATCATTTATTTTTTTACAATTTTATGGAAAACAAACAACTTGAGAAGTTTCATTTTCCTCTAATGATATTCTAATTCAGAATGTGCTATCTATGTTTAATTTCTATTAATATACTTTCTTATTGATGACCTGGGTAACTAAGAGATAATGTATATTTTGTGTGGAGATCAGATCTAATGATTACTTACACAAATCATTTTCACTGAACAACAACAAAAAATATCGAATTCAGTAATGCAATATTTTACCTATTGGTGCAAAAAAAAAAAAGCAAAGCACAATTGAAGCTTCTTTTTAAACATCTTAACTGATAATTAACTACATTATTTCAGGCTTATTTCTTACATAATGTTTTTTAAATGGGAAAGTCCAAAAGACTGAAATAAAGGTATTTGAATTTCTCTGAATTCAAATATAATTGTCTGCTATTGTTCACTTTACCAGTGTCTGAAAGCATATGCTGTAGCAACTAGCTACTCAGTAGACTTCTCACTGGTCACCCTCATAGAGAACTTACATATCCAGAAGAAGTGAAGAGGACAGAGAAGCAATTGTACTAACTGTAATTTCCTTAGGACCATGGCCTATGTCTCAGTGCTTCTGATGCCTAAAAGAGTTGCTTGGCACCTATTAGGTGTATAATAAACTTTTGTTGAAAATAATCATAGCTACCACTTATATAGCACTGAAGATATGACAGACATTTTTCTGAGTGCTTTATATATTTGAAAACATTCCATCTTCAAAACAATCTTATGAGTAGTTACTATAATTATCCCATTTTACAGATGAGGAAACTGGAAGAAAGATATACTTTTAAAAAGTCTCTAATATTACCTCGAATATACAGTTGACCCTTGAACAACATGGGTTTGAACAGCATGGGTCCACTTATATACAGATTTTTTTTTCAATTAATATGCAGTCCACTCCAGGTTTTACATATTCAGATTCAATGAACAGTATTTTCCATCAACAGGTGGAAATCTGTGGATGTGGAGGGACGGCCACATGCATTGTTCTATGCCATTTCCTATAAGGGACTTGAGCATCAGATATTGGTCGGGGGATCCTTGAACCAGTGCCCCACAGATATGGAAGGATGACTAAAGTTTTTGGTGAGTCAAAAGCTATACACGATTTTCGATTGTATGAGGCACTGGCTCCTAACCCCTGCGTTGTTTAAAGGTCAACTGTATTTACAAATTGAATCCTCATAAAAGCTACGATGTCCTTTCTATGAGGTATACAAAATAAAAATTCACACACATCCCTATCGATGGCATATTCACAGTACATGCAGCATTTTAAAGCTTGCCTCTTCTTGGTGCATAATCATTCAATTTTTCTCCATAGATAGACACCACACCTTGTTGTCAATAAATAATTCCACTTTAATGGCAAAGTAATAATTTAGACAGATACAGGGTGCACATTTGCAAAAAAATATATGCAAGCTGGTTTACAAGCTAGAGGAACAAGAAACCAATAGAAAATACATCATCCAGTTAAGTCCATTGACAACAAGTACTTAGTGTTGGGGCTTTACAAAGACTACAAAACTTTTCAGATGATTTATTTCACTTGTTTCTGCCTATTTACATGATATGTTACATCAAAAATGTACAAAATATAAAATGTATACAGACAAATGTTTCACAAACTAGTTTAAGTTGTAAACTAGGTGGACCTACTGGGATGTATTGCAGGAATCTGTTTATGATCATGTTTGGACTGTGTTTCTTAAAATGGCAGGGAAAGATTAGCAATTTTCTTAGATCACGTATTATACAAGGGCAACTAGTCACTCATCCAGCTACACACGTCGATGTTTCACAACAGATTTGATCCACGTTTGAGGCTTCAAAGTCGGGGTGACAATGCTATGTGCATAAACTCAGTTCCGATTTCCCTTAGGGCAATAGCACCATGTGGCCCCTACAGACTCAGTGACACTCTGAAAACTGCACAGATGTCTCGTGTTGTTTTTGTTTAGAGCAACTGACCCATGGGTGGTCACAGAGAGTAGCACCAATTGCACATCCTGCACGTAACACATTTTCCCACATATAGAACAGGTCTATACCACGGCCTAGCCCTTGGGTTGTATAAACCTAACACCTGTCCTCTGGGTGTGGCGGTAACTTCTCAAATGACTCCAGTCAGTTTTCATGTACTCTCTTTAAAGCCTGCCATGATAGATGCACCTTCAGACATGTTTACTTTTCCAAAAATGGATTGGCTTTGTGTACAGTTTTGACGCATGCTCACTCTAGTACTGATAGCGCCTGCATAGTCGTAACAACTGTAAATACAGGACAAACACACCGGATAACAACAGCTTTGAGGGTCTGCATTCTGTATTTGTTTGCAATGTACAGGAAATCTCAGCAAGTGAAACACCTCTTCACACCAACAGGATAAAATACAATTTTGTGTGTGTGTGTTTGTTTTGACTTGTGCAAGTTTTAAAAATTATTATTTACAATACCTACCCAGTAGACTGTGCAAATCTAACCATCTTTTACAGTATAAATGCTTCCTCTTCCACAGTGACATCACTGCTTCAGTGTTCTCTAATGCTGAATTTCTCATGTACAACAACAGCAATCAAATCAACATGCTCAAAGCTAATAAGAATTAAAAAAAAAATAGGGGAGGAAAGCCAAATAGTTGTGCTCATGCTATATCTAGTGCGTCCAGCTCTGCTGGGTTAAGAATTCAAAATCTCCCGCCTTCTGAAACTCTCTCACCTAGAATTGGGTGGAATAGAGCCACATCGCTTAGCTTTGAAGTGACAGTCTAAGAGGGTTTCTGGGTTACTTGAGTATTTTTGGAGGATAGGCAAAGCAATCTATTCACAAGGTAAAAATACTGATCTTTCTCCTATCCATTTCTTGAAAAAAAAAAAGATATATAGAGATGAGGCTACTGTGCTAACTGGTGTTACTTGGTTGTAAATGAAAAGACAGTGGAAATTACCAATGGTTTAGGACTTAAACCGACTGTTAAACTGTCGTAGAAATCTGTTTTAAGGCAGTGAGACAGCACCATAGGAAATGTTTCTTCTTTCACTGAAAAGGCTCAGACAAAGCCCTAAACAAGCCTTTTGTCAGTGTTGACTAGTAATTGGTATAAAACTCTTGTTAAGGGAGTGGGCAGGTGGCTTAAAAGACCACGGTGGTAAAAACAACATTATAAAACCTGTGACTCATATACTAAAGCATTGGTGGATCACATCGTGTGAACATGGCAGTTAGGAATTAAATTGGCACTTCTCCAGCTTGCCACCGTGGTGTGTTTCTGGTGGTGACACAATTCCATTTGTGCTTACAGAGGCCTGGCCTCTTGGCTTCGTTTTGGGATGGGGTGAGTGCACAACACAAACACTTTTGGAGCCGTGACCAGCACCGTGGGGCACAGAAAAGTTTGGATGGATCAGAAGCATGGACCCTGTTTGGGGAGAACAGCTCATCAGAGGAAACAAAAGGAAGGGACAAAAAAAGGTCTGCATTGTAAACTTTGAAAGAGGAGAAAAACGAAAGTCCAGTTTGGCTGTCCCATGTGCAATCTATTCGGTTGCCCCATCATTAGGGTCCTTTCCAGTTGAGTCATGGAGCCATCTATCACTCCACGGATAGAAAAATGCCTAGAAATAAAATAAAGTTAAGCTTCCGTTTCAATTTAGCATCTTGGCGGTTCAGACTTAGTTCTGCTGCCTCCTTGGAGACCACGACTCTGGGTCAGGGCCCTTAATAGGTGCTTTCATACTGGCAGTGGTTTAGTGAAAATACCTTACTTTTTAAACATTTTAAAAAGGCATAGTCTTTCCCCCAGTAACTTTTTTCACCCTCTAGAGGGTAGATTCAAGAGATGAATCCAAAATGTCTTCATGGTGGCTGGTGCTATCGCTGTCGCAGCTTTGTGTACCCGAGTAATTGGCTGCTTCTTGGAGTTTCATTAGCATATTCATCTGAAGGAAGAAAAAGAGACATCGGATGCAGGCAATGATGCATTCAGTAAGCCAGCCCCACAAAATACGAGGCCCTGAGCGACACTGAGGGACGGTCTCATCCCAACCAAGTGAAACGGGAAAACAATTTTAGATTTTTACTAGTTGCCTCCGGCTCCTACATTATTTCTCTCAAATAAGGCTCCAATACCAAACCATAAGGACAAAATAAAGCCTCCAGATAACTCTTTTATTTGAGATTGTGAATGAATACTGCTCCAGCAGGGAGATTGGGAAGGAAACAGTATCACAGCTGGACATCTGGGCTCACTGCTGATGAGTATGCCAAGCTTCCCGGCTTTTTGGCTGGGAGAAGCTGAAAGCACTGAATGGCAACTGGAAGTGGTGAGTGCTCATACACACACAGACGCACTCACAGGCTCACACACACAGTCCCTCGAGAGAAGGAGGGGACAGAGTGGAATGAAGCCAGCTGCTGCACACAAGCACACCATCTGCTGCTTAGGAACTGACCTCGAAAGGAGGTGACTGAATGAAGCAGACCATGAGCGTTTGAAGAGGGAGAAGGAAGGAATCACTGTCAAGTTTCTGTTGTTGAATTTCTGGCTAATAGATGATTGATCTATCACTGAAAACAAAAACCACCTTCTGGATCAACAGCGGCTGTCTCAAGTTTCCCAGCCTTAGAGGACAATGATAATATCTGTTCCAGTAAAAGGGACATGTGTGGGAAAGCACTGGGGGAGAAAGGCAGCTAGCATTTCCATGTATTACTAAATAAAAGGCAGCCACCTTGCTTGGATTTCGATAGACCTGCAGATCCACTGTGAGGGAGGGAAGTAAAAAAAAAAGATTGTTTAAAAGCAAATTATAGGCAACTGGTTCAACAGTTCTAGAAAGCACAAAAGAAATTGGCACGTGTCTTCATGAGTTTGGGGACTTGTTTTCTTATCAAGGGTTTCTATAGATCATAATAATGTTTATATTATTTAAACATACTAATTTTATCAATTTACAAAGTAATCAAAGTTGTTCTTTTTTTTAACATAGAGAAATAGGGAATCTGATCCAACAGAAAGGAGAAATCTAAAAAGGAATTCTTTAGTCATATGTTAGGCTATGCATGCTTGTGTTCTCAGGGTATGAGGTGTTTTTTAAAAATGCTTGTGATAGGCCAGCTGAGTGGCTCAGTTGGTTAAGAGCTGGCTCAAGAGTTTGAGCTCTGAGCAACAGCGGTTCGATGCCCGGCCTGAGCTGAGCTGCCGCTGAGCTGCCAAAAGGTGGCAGGATGGCTCAGCTAAAAAAAAAAAAAAAATGCTTGTGACATAAATGATAAATTGGTTATCACCAATTTCAACAACAATGCCTTTCTGACATAGAGGCTATAGTTGGAGCATATTTTAAAGCCATTTTAATATTCTTCAGGAAAATAATTTTTAATATAATTTTCGGTCTAACTTTCTGAATTTATTAAATCTACATAAGAATGTGAAATGAAAGCAGTTGGTGATGACCTCTTATGAAACTCAGTAAGCAAAAAAGCCAAATGTTTCTATCAACATTGTTCTTCTCTCTCCCTCTCTCTCCATCTGTCTCTTTCTCCCTCTCTCTTTCTCTTTCTCCCTCTCCCCTACCTTCACGTACAATCATATTCTCTCCCTCCTTTCTTTTGTCAGTTCCTCCCTCATCAGTAGCTGGCTGTATATTCAAGCATCTGGGTAAAGATGATTTCTAGACCAGATCTGTGTTTCAAGCACCCTTTTGATTTACTAGGAGTAGAAATGACAAATGAGATCTGTGTAAAGGGTTATGATTCTATCTCAGTTACAAATGTTAGAAATAACTGGAATGATGTAAAATTTTGTTGTAATAATAGTGTTCTTAAAGTCTTACTTTTTGAAAATGGTGCCACATGTAAATATGTGCCATTAGAATAAGTTTCAATTCTCAGATTCATAATATATATATTATGAATATATATTATACATATATATGGTTTACTTTGCTTTCTCAGAGTGTTGCTTTGTGAATTTAAGTCAAAGGAGATTACAAGAGGGAGGTAGGGTTACATATGATTCAACAGTCACTGGGATAGATCACCGTTCTCTACAAAAGTATTTCCCTCCTTTCTTCTCTCCTTCTTCTGCCCCACACCCATAGTCACAAATATAACGTGTATCATTTGTAACACCTTGGTCAAGTCCTTATCAACCCTGGTAGTATTGGGTTGTCGGAAAAGTTAAGACATATTTTTGCAACGAAAAACAAAGAAAAAAATATGTCATGACTTTTCTGACAACCCAATATTTACAAATCTGCTAGTTTCCCAGCATCCATCCTCTCTCCTTTAACAGGTCCTCTATTCTATCATCAAAGTGATCTTAATAAACTGCTAATCTAGCTGGGTAAATTATAAAGATTTTCACACGGACTGCTCAAAAACTTTTGGTGGCTCCCTATTCTCTGTATGATAAACTTTTAACTTCCTACAGAGGTAATCATGGCTCAACCTGATCTAGCAATCACAGACCTCTGTAGCTTTAATTCCTCCCATCCCTTTTGTTCCAATCCTACTGGTATGTATACAGTTCCCTAAACTCATTGTTTTTATTATATTGTTCCACAATATTTCACCTGCTGTATTCTTAGTTTTGGATGTTCTCCATCCAACCATGTGATGAACTTCTATTCATCCTTTTAGATCTAGCTCAAGCACCTCCTCCTCTGTGAAGCTTTTTCATATTCACTTCCTACAATGGACTCACAACGTTACCTAGCACGCACCTCTATCATTATTTTACTGCAATTACGTAGGTAGATGTCTTTTTTCACTGTGAGCTTCCTGAGATCAAAACTGATATCTTCTTTATCTCCTGATCATCAAGTCTTAGCCCTGAGGACATACTTATTACATATTAACAACTGTAGAATGAATGAGTGAACTTGTTGATGATCAATACACATTATATTTTTAAAATACAGTGAGTTATGCCAAAAACTTGCATCTTTGTTCAGATTCAAAAATGTATTTCTGACATTAAATAGTGGATTTTTTCTCTTAATATTTGATTTAGACTGGACTGGAAAAATATTTTTATCTTATGTTAGTAAATATAGAAATATATAGAATTAAAAGCAAATAGCACATTTCTATCAGAATGTGCCTGATCCAAAGAATTATTTTTAATTCTTATTTTTAAATCTTTTGCCATTTAACATGTCATATGTCATAAGCCCTTGATTCTTCAGATGTTTAGCAGATTAGGAATCAGGGAATTTTTTTTTTATTCCAATTTTCACTCAGAATGGGAGGCTATGGATCTCTTTTCCATACTAGAAGACAAAGGCAGTCAGAGCCAGGGAAAAGAGCGTTTAATGGACTTAGCTGATCAGGGCTTTGGGAAAGAAGTGGGAAAATTGAGGGCATCCCCTAAGGGTCCCATACTCTACAGAATAATTCTGAAAATAAACTTTATAAACCCCTCTCCTTATCTGAAACAGACACAGTATATCAAAACTGCAAAGGTAGAATTGGAATTTATAAAATTCATGCGAAATAATCTGTATTTGTACCCTACAGCTTACATTTACTCTATGAAATTTTAACCATTCAATCAGTAATTATTAAGCACATGCTCACAATTATGCTAGATTTATACTAGTTCCATCACTACTGTTAATTGCCAACCATGTATAAGCTAAAGGGCCAGGTGCCAGTTACAAAAATGTAAGTCCAGGCCCTTAAGTAGTTCATAGTCTAGCTCAAAAGTCCTATATAGGAGACCCCTAGACTCCAAGAAGCTCTTGTGTATGCTTCCATGACTTTATGAAATTCTTTACTGGGGAAAGGGTCTTGAAAATTTATCAGATTGTTCACATGTAACCCCCAAATATTAATACTGATCAGCTGAGATGGTGATGATGTATACATATTGGGGTTGTTGGTCATTTTATGTCTTTGGGTATAGTCATAGATTATGATATTTTAAAGCATTTAAATAATTTTCTTTATGTTTTGTTTTAAGTGACATAATGGCCTTTATTTCAGTATGTGTTCTTTCTGAATTGGTTGTGAAAATCCAATGATCTCTTTAGTCCCAGAATCGTAAACCAACAAACACATTACATTTGACATAAATCTACAGAAAGTCATCTATAAAAATAAAAAATACATAAAAAATAAAGTATTTTTCCTAATAAAACCACGTACTGAATATTTTCAGAGTATTCATACTTTGGAATTTCATCAACTTTTATTAAGCCATACACAATTGCCAGCTGAACAAGGCAGGGGGAATAATTTCCCTTTGATTTTCAAGTCAGTTTATTCTACGCTACCATAGGCAATGGAAGACTAATTCTCAATTTAGTCAGACTAGACTATCCATGTCAAATATTCTTTAGCTCTCCAAGAGTACGTTAGAATATATTCTTTTTGATTCTTCATTTAAGAACACATTCAGCTTTTTCTTAAACATTAAGTGAATTTAGTCATGCCATTTAAAATTTTAATGATCTTTTTATACAGTTTTCTGCATAATAAGATAAAAATTATGGTCATAGGGTTCAGCCTGGCTTTAGTGTTTCTTGATTATTTTCAAGCATACAAGTTGGTCTTTCATTCTAAGAAACCCACCCAATGAAAGCAAGCCAAAGGTAAAAGAGTTCAAACAGAGTAGCAATTTCAGAACAATCACAAATATTACCTAAGATAACTAATGTCTTTGATACAAATGACTAAATACTAATGACCACACACTGTACTCAAGATGATATAGGGAGAATCACATATCGCCTTCTTACCAGGGGATCCCCCTCCGTGTCAGTCTGAGGAATGTGCTTTGAGGTTGTGGCTTCCTTCGTGGAGATGCAGCCCTCATACCCAACATCTTCTGGTCGCAACTGCAGCAATGTCGGGCCTTCCTGAGGCAGAGACGCTGAGCTCCACGGGTATGTATCCAGCACCCACTTTGAGGGGTCTTCCCAAGGTGCTCGTTTCCCATACATCTAAAAGGGGATCACATATTTAGCACATATAAAATGCATTTCTATTTAGTAAAAAAAGGCGACTATTAATTGAGTGATGTGTGTGCACGTTGAGTTTTTACGGGACTTTCAACGAATTACTGTGCATATACAATTTTCCATTTTTTCAACATACAGTTGTCAACAGAGCTCACTTTAAACTTAAAGGCTAGATGAAATAAAACTGTCGCAGACAGATGATCAGCGGGGGGTTGGTGGGGGGTAGTGTGAGGGAGGTTTATTTTAAATAACATGTTGAAATGACTGCCCACATTTATCTTTATGTGTAATTTTACAAACCAAAAGAAAACTCAAAGTTGAGAAAGAAAAGTTCCAGTTATGGAGAGTTGGAAAAAGCTATGCTAGACCCTAAACAGAGTTCTCTACTTTGGGGAGATTGTGACTAAAAGAAAAGAGACTTCTTTTTCTCTAATTCACTCTACTCAAAATTCCTTTGGGAATAAGAATACTTCCTCTGATAACCATTTTCCTCAGATTAACTTCATCTAATAATCTCACTGCTTCCTGTAAAAACTCTTTTCAGATGTTTATTGATAAGGCCACTAGTAAAAGAGGAGAAAAAAAATGGATGAAAACATCAATTTTGTAAGGACTCATATGGAGGGAAAAAAGTCAATAATAAAAAGACAATAAAGCCTGATTAAAGTCCTGAGAGTGGAGTAGAAGGGAAAAGGTGAGTCCAAGAGATGTTTTATAAAGTTTTCAGCTGGGAATGAAGATAAAACCAAACTGGGAAGGGCAAACTGAGGAGATAGAGGTTGATGGGACTTTGTAAAAGAATATAAGGCCACTGGGGAGAGAAAGAAAAGTTAAAATTATGAGGATGGTAGCATGGGTGCACAAGTTCTTTACTTCCTCTCTCCCCTTGAGGTGCTCTTGGGAGGGCAGTCCTAGTTACTAGGTACATATTTGGCCCCAGATGACATACTGTGAGGTATTCTATGCGGCTTGTTGTGGTTCAATGAGACAAAAGCAAAATGGTGGACAATGACACCTAAGAATTATCTTTTGGGTTTCTCCTGAAGAAGTTGTATGTGGTTGCAGCAGCCTGGCCTAAAAAAAAAAAAAAAAAAAAAAGGGAGTCCAGGTCCTGCTATCTGTGTATTCCCTTAGGAGATCATGGCAGGGGTAGCAATCATCAGATCTTAAAAATATTTCATTTGTTTTGGAGCAGACATTTTCTCTCAGTTAAAAACTTACATTATAGAGGATGTAAAACATAGTTTGCTATACAACTTAAACTAATTGATGAAAAATGTGTAATTTTTGGAAAGCAAATGTCACAAAAAGAATATGAAAGTCTAGAATCACCTTTTAAAGAATCATCAAGGACAGCAAAACTGGAAGTGACCAGTAAAAAGCTAAACACACCCAATTCTGTATTTCAGAATACAATAGATTTAAATAAATAATTGAAAGGAGAGAAATTTAAATACTTAGAATGAGATAAACTGATTGCTAGCATTTCAAGAAAGATAGAGTCACCAGAATAAAATAAAAATTCGCTGCATCATCAGTGGTTTCCCCCCCCCCCCTAACTAGAGCAGCTGGCAGAGAGTATTCCCCATAAGGTTTCTCACCAAAGCATCAGCCTTCATTTAAAAAGAGATTTTTCTATTCCTCTAATTCAGATTTTCATCTCTGCAATCAGGCTTTGTTTCACCACCTCTTGCTCCAACTCAAGGTCCTTTGTTGCCAGTAGATACAAGGGAACGGTTCATGGCATATATGGTTCATTTTCTTGCTGTCTCTCCAGAAGGCATATAATGGACCACCCCAGGGGTATCGGCTGCCAATGGACTCTGGCCAATCACATCTTTCAGCAGCAATGAAAACCGTCTACCCACCAAAGGGTTTTTCCTTTTTTATCTCTCTTATTTACTGGATTTTCCTTCCAAATTCCCTATACCATGGTTAATTCAGCATTCAAACTAGCCTAATACTCACCATTCAGAACCATAGCAAGAAACTTGAGACATTTTTATCCTTCTCCAAAATAATATGGAAGTATCATTCTGTTTCACTTGGGAGATTGGTATTACTTTTGTGGTTATACTTTTGCTCCAATGGAAGCTTTATATAATTATAATTCTCAGAATAGTGTTTTATCAATAATATTGATTTAAATATTTTGAAAATGCATGCACTTTTTAAAAACGAGATCTAAAGAAGCGAATCACTTTTAGATTTTTGAGTCTTTAAAAAGCTTCTTTTCTTTCTATGTATCAGCATAGAAATATGAAATAAGGAGCATTTCATATATAAAGACTTGGATGTTAGCTTATTAATATTGAAGCTGTATCTAGAGAACAAATCATTCATTTAAACATTAAGTTTTAAAATTATTACTTCCACAATATTATAAATAAATTTTCATAAAAATATTTTTTTTTGTATAAATGATCAAAAGTGAGAGACCCAGTTCACATCTTAAGCATCATAATATTTTTAGGGGGATTCTAAAAAGTGATATATTATACCTGAAAAATAAAAATTTTGGTATAGTCTTTTATTTTATCGGAGCCATTTACTGGGGCTAGATGGCTCATGCCCTTAAATATATGAAATTAGTTTATTTAAATCTGGAGTAGAATCAATTGATAGAATTCTCTAGGATCTTTATCTCTGAGGGTTCAGAGTATCCCCATAATTCATCATATTCATCAGAAACATCATGATGCATCTAAATGCTGCCATTCTATGCTATTTAGGTGAGGAGAACATGATGGTAAAAGGAAGGAAAAGAAACGAAAACAGATAACAATCTTCAAATAGTAAAATAAAGACAATACAGCATTGCAGATGACCAAATGTGGGAAGTATACACTATATCTTAATTCTAGTAGCAGTTGTGCCAACCAAAAATAGAGATGCCTAAGCAAAACGGCTTATGTTTTTGGCTGAGTTATGGAAGAGAAGATTGGATTCTTCTCCAATAACTTGGGTAATTATGCAACAGGAATCTTAAAGATTCAATCTTAAATTTTATAATTGTACAATTTCATGAAATTTCGAGTACAATTTAAGGAAATAGAAACTGTTGACAAAGGTATATTTTTTTGAAGAAACAGGGTTTTCTTATTGGTGATATATTTTGACTTTTTAGTTACGAGTAAATAAAAGGACTGATTGCAGGGCCTCATGAGAAGAACAGCAGAGATGCTGCTAAACCAGCTTGTCACAGATTAAAAAAAAAAAAAGTCAACAGCCTTAGAATTTAGAGCACTCTCTTGAAAGTAATAAAGAATCTTGCAAAGATTCGTGATGTGAAAGGGCTTCAAACAACAAAACATACTAAAAACAGGGAACCTATAAACAAAACTTACTTGTTGAAAATTACATGGTAAGAGAATAAATGACCAAGGCCCATGTAAACATGTCTGTCTTGTAAGATGTAGGTAGAACTGTGCAATTAATGGGCTATTTAATAAGAGTCTGTAAACACCCATGGCAATAAATTTGGCCTTAAAAGTGTAGTTGTTGCAATAACTATGCTTTCTCTTTCTCCAAAATATTTATTCTCAGAATAGGCAAAAGTATTGCATACTAGTTGCCCTTTAAAATTTTACCACCATATGTATATAGCTCATGCCTTTAGTTTTCTGCATAAATACCTAGAGAAATAAATGCTTTCTGTTTTAAATGAATAATATGTTTGCTTTGTTTTTTAAACAGTAAAGAAAATGATGAGTACTATACCTGAAGACCTTCTCTTACTGCCTCCAGAATATAAGGTACCAAAGAATAGTTCCAGAGATCCATGAACCATACTCTAGAACCTTCTACATCCATGGGGCAAGGAAGGAAAAGTCGAGGACCTGAGAAAAAACAAGTGTTTTTGAGAATCATTATATTTAACAATCTAAACATGTTTAGATGCCATTTTGGGGAGAATTAACATATTTCTTGCAGGATTCTTAGAAAACTTACTCTTGATCAGCTTGATTATTATTAAAATATGTTTTACTGAAGACCCATTCTCCTTTGGACTCCCCTTTCTTTTTATTCTAAAATCTTAATGTAAAACAACATATTAGAGTTAGGAGAAACCTTAGATGCAGTCAATCAGCCCCAATTAACAAATGACAAAACTTGTGCTAAATGAATTGCCAAATATGTCAATATTTTCAAAAATGGGGCTCAGCCTTGGTCTTCTGATCCCAAATATAGAATTCTTCTTTCTAAGCTACACTGTGTCTTTAGTGAGTATGTCTTTATGACCCATAACGATGGGAAAAGGGCCTATTTCATGCAACTTAAGAAGGAATACCAAAAAAAAAAAGGGGGGGAACCCCTTTTTTTATATAATGAGAAATAATTCAAACAATTTAGTCTTGATGAAAAACATAAAATACCTAATTAATCTCTAACTAAAATCTTCCCTTACAATTATATTTGATACATGGCATTAACTAAAATTTGTTTTCAGCATAACCTAAAAGAATATGATTTTTTAAGTGTTCTCTGATTTTTAGATATTTGTCTATATTAAATCTATTTGATCTCAGTAATATTTTAATGAACCATAGCTGTCAGATAAAATGAATCTAATTGGAGATACAAAGTTTAGAATAAGGTAAACTTTCAAAAGGAAAAAAAAAGAAAATTTAAATCTTTGGAAGCTTGAAAAACATTAGTTGCACTTGTTATTTTCTACCATCCAATCTGGCCATCTTTACCACATATACTTCGTTCCTGGAAAATGGCATATGCAATTTTAGAACTCACCAATGGTAACATCAGAAGAGCTGTGTGTTTCCAAAAAATTGTTGAGATGATGCCATGTCTTAGGAATCCAATCTATAATTTTGACTAGGTCATTATCACGTATGTTCCTTTCAATTTCTAGCTCTATCAGTTTCCTTCGAAGGTATCTACCTAAAAAGCCTTTCACGGGTTCTGTGTGGTTTGCACATAGGACCCACCTACAAAAAGAAAAAAAAATCATAAATCTTTATATAAATTAAATTTTATGTTCATTAACAATTCTCTTTCCAATATAAAGCAATAATGCACCTATTTGAATTGGTGGCCACATTTTAATAATCAAAGGGGTTAAGAAGTCTATTAGCATTTGAGCTCTAATGTAACTAACTTTTCTTTCTGATCTATAGAGAAGCTCTTGTGCGTCAGTGAGTGGGAGTATGCACGCTCTTCTGTAGAATCACAAATCCCAAAATAGAAACACTCTTCACATTCCTCACACTTAGAAGAAAAGTGCTCTACTTTTGCTGGTGGCATAATGAGCAGGAAAAATATTTCTTTCCTTTTCTTTTTTGAAAGAAACACTTCTGATTACAGGTTGAGGATCACAAAATGACTGCTTGAGAAAGAGTGTCATATGAAGTGAGAATTATTTTCACACCATAGGTCACCACAGGCAGGATCTGTCAATGTACAAATGGAAAAACAACCACAAGCAAACAGAAAGAGACAATGCAAAAAAATCCAAAACAAAACAAGCAGGCAAACAAACAAAACACATTTGAGTTATCTTTACCTGAAATTGTGATGCAGCTCCAGATTTGGTGATGAAGACACTCCCTGATTCATTGTTCCAATAATATATGGACTGGGGAAAAAATAAGGAATAGAATAAGTAGACATAATGAAAGCAAAATAGATTAATATATTAAATTGTCTTAGAAAACAATTTAGATAAATATGATCATTCCATTTTATCATTAGGCTTTAAAAGGGTGATTTTGTAATGTTAGGTTACAAAATGACAAAAAGCATTGAACTGGAAATTAGGAATTGGTGCTCTAATTTCAGCCTTGGCATCCTAGGCAAATCATTTTTCCTCTCTGAGCCTGAGTTTACTCATCTGTAAAATAAAAATATTAGACAGAATAATCACAGTGATCTCATCCCACTCTAACATCTTATGACTCTTATGCTTATAATCAAATTCATTAATTTTTCCTCTTTTATTGTTTCATAGTTATTTTGAAGGTTCTTAATAACATGAGAAAATTTGTATTCTTGTTTCAATACTTAGTTTGTGCTGATATATTTTTTAAAATCTCTAGCAGAGGTTAGTTAATTGGGACACTTGTACCATTACAGTTAATATTTATGTTATTGCTCCTACATGTCCTTTCTTTAGAGCAGTGGTTCTCAACCTTCCTAATGCCGCAACCCCTTAATACAGTTCCTCATGTTGTGGTGACCCCAACCATAAAATTATTTTCGTTGCTACTCTATAACTGTAATTTTGCTACTGTTATGAATCATAATGTAAATATCTTTTTGTTTTCCAATGGTCTTAGGCGACCCCTGTGAAAGGGTCATTCAACCTCCAAAGGGGTCGCGACCCACAGGTTGAGAACCGCTGCTTTAGAGGCCATGCTACCCAATATTAAGTGGGTTTTCAGATTTTTTTATACTTTAACCTTTTCTTTCATTTTAATACTTAAAAATTAGACTCATTAATAGAAAGAAATATATCTGAATGTATTAAATTTATTTCTATAGGAAGGTTGAATTTAAAATTTGATATGGACTAAGAATAACACCACAGCTCTAAAGCCTCACTCTAGCTCTTAATTTCTCTGATTCAAACATTCCATCGATATTAGTCTCCCAGGCTGCCAACATATCTACAGAAGCTGACATCATCAATTAAATCATGTTTCCATGAAAATGTCTGGAACATTGTTGTTGACTAAATAAATAGATGTTCTAAGAAGTACATAGGGATTCTTTGGAAATATGGTACACTGTGAATGCAGGCTTCTCAAATTAATATCTGATACAGGTCTTAAAAGACAGAAAGGCACAAGACAGCAAATTTAATCACCATTTTTTCATATTTCATCATTCAAAATATTTCAGAAGCATACCATTTGTTGTATTTACAGTTGAGGAAGCCATTGAAGATATCACTCAAAGAGCCCACATGATGAAGATTATCAAGAATTATTACCACTGGGAGCTCTGCGCCATTATTGTCAGCACTGCACTGTTCAGCCAGGCTAGCTAGATACTGCTGTAATTCCTTTGAAAAAAACAATGAAAACAAACACATCGATGATAAATTTATATCACTGGCAAACAATTCATATTTTAGGAATAGCACATCTTGTCTTTTATACAGTATCCTTGATTAAAACTCATAGATCAGTCCACTGATATAAAACTTTATTCTACAATGCAAAGAACATACAGTGCTGAGAGTCTACATTTTCTAAAGGAAAGAGAGAAATCAATACAGAACATGTGCAACAAATATAAAACTGTAAACACAAAGGCATACTTGCAGTTGTTTTCTACCCTAAAGAAAAGGAAGTAGCGTTCCGGATATGAGTTCTTCAGATAAACTACAAATATTGAGACTTTATTCTTGTTTTTGTTATTTAAGTGATCAAAGTGGATTTTAGTATAGCTTATAATTACAAGTACACACTAAATCCAAAATGGCACCCCTAAATTTTCACTAATACTTTAAATGTTGTAATTCCAATTCATTTCAATGGGGTGCATCTCAAACTATAGCCGTGGGACTCAGGTAAGTGTATGTGTGTATGTATGTGTGTATGTATGTATGTGTGTATGTATGTATGTGTATTATTTCTAATATGCATGCAACTGCTAACATTTTAAACAAAGACAAAATGTGTTATATTTTACTGGGTCATTTGACATTAGCATTTAGCATTTCTTGAGCTTCTTGGTTCTTTTACAAGTACTATTCCTTTCTAATAGTTTTTAATCTAAATATGATAACCAGTCCCCTGATTGACTGCTCTCAGAGATGGGTAGGCCAGGAACATAATTAGGTTTCTTAGAATTTTCCTAATCCGTAAGAACATTTCCATAATATTTGCATATTTACAATGATATTTTCAATTTGTAAATTTTACTCAGGGTTAAAAAAATAATTCCATGATCCCACTTTCTGGCATCCAGGTAAATATGTGAACCTCTCACCCTAGAGGCAACTCACTCTGTCTGTAATATCACTTTTACAACTAAAAGTAGAAAGGAATACATGACAATAACCAGAGTTTTAAGGTATTTAGTAATATACTAATTTAAGTTCAAATATAACATTTATTAGGAACTAACACACCATGTATCTTATATCGAGCCAATCACATGGAATAAATATTGCCTAAATCAGAGAACATATAGAAAAATATGTTTATCTGGAGAATTTCATTTATCTTAAAAGAAAAATGGAATTTATATGAATAATGCAGCTATATTAAGTAATTCATTCATTTGTAAAATATTCACTGTGTACTTGCTATGTTCATAGCCCTAGACCAAGACCTGGGGTATACAAAAATAATGAAGCATTGTTCAAATAAGTTCAAGTAAACTTAACATTTATTATGAATTGAATCAAATATTTTTCTGGGCACAGGGATTAAAAAGGGTAATCAGACTGTCCCCAGAGCCCTGTAGGCTTTAAGATTTGTAACATTAGGGACTGAAATTTAAATGTGATAAATCATGTGATGCCATAGTGCATTAGGAGGTTTGAGAAGTCAGGGAAGGCGGTGTCACCTAGCTGGTGAGTGCGAAGGGAAGCTCTCTGGATGAGGTCATGTCAGAGCTTGGGAGGGTGGTAGGCACACACAGAACTAATGAACTTATAAAATACAACGTGACCTAGAGAACATTATGCTAAATGAAATAAGCCAGAATGAGAAAGACAAATACCACATGATTTCACTTATAGGTGGACTCTACAGAACGGAATAAATGAGCAAACAAAACAGAAATAGACTCAGAGGTACAGAGAAAAAACTGATGTTTGCTAGATGGGATGGGGGTGGGGATGGGGGAGAAGGTGAAGGGATTAGACAGTACACATTGATAGTCACAAAATAGTCATGGGGATGTGAAATACAGTATGGGGAATATAATCAATAATGTAAAGATTATGTAGGATGCCAGATGGGCACTGGTCTTATCAAGGGGATCATTTCATAGACTGTGTAGATGCCTGACCACTGTGTTGTATACCTGAAGCTGAAGTGGAATAATATTGAATGTCAACTATAAATAAATAAATAAATAAATAAATAAATAAAACATATATATATATATATATATATATATGTATATATGGTCACAGGATGTGGAGTACAGCATAGGGAATAGAGTCAATGGAATTGTAACAGTATATACGATGTCAGAGGAGTAGTAGATGGAGGGGTGGTTATTACTTTATGAGGAGTATAAATGTCTAACTATTACATTGCTCTGTACACCTGAAACTAATAAAAAAAATACAATGTGAAACATTCCATGAGAGAGGCTAAAGAAGAGATGTGGCCTGTAAGAGGGAGAAGGATTAATTTCAACTGGGTGATCCTGATGGACTTCAAGATCCTTGAGATGGATCCTGAATAATGAGTAGGATTCCAAACGATAAGATATAGTTATTTATCCTTTCAACATGCCTTTAACCAGTACTTACTATGTGCCAGGTACTCTGGCACCAAGAATTTACTCCTGTATTCCAGGATCTTAGAGTTGATGAACAAAAAGGCAGTTCAACAAGTAAATCATAATACAGTGTGATAAGTGAAATGCACAAAACTTTATAGGGAAACTTGAGAGAGGCATCTAACCCAGACTTAAGGTTCAGAGAACAACAAGATACAGGGACGGGGAAACTATTGGAGTCTAACTAATAAAGAGTGAAAGCTGTAAGGTAGGAGTATGTGATGTGTTTGGGGGAATAATAAGTATTCTGTTGTTGTGAAAGAAATGGTGCATGGTAGTAGTGGTCGCAATGAAAGAGAAAATAGAAAAGATTTTTAATTCATTCAGGGTAATTTGGATTTTACCATATAAACAACTATGAAGTATTCATTTTTTTCCATTGGGAATGGCAACTTATTTATTAAAGGAAACATAAATATGAAGGATATGATGATTAATTATAAATGGAAATGAATTCAAGCATATTGCCCATAAAAGTAGGTTAGGAATGTGTGTGTGTGTGTGTGTGTGTGTGTGTGTGTGTGTGTGTTTCACAGCAAAAAGTAATACATTACTTAAAAAAAATATAAACCAAAGATTCTGTTCAGAGCATGTAAGGAGTACTTGTAGCTTCTGGGAAAAACCTTCTGGTGGCAGTATTACTTGTTATCAATCCTTTATTTTTAAGATTGAGTAATGCTTTGATGATTAAAATTGGAAGGAGAGCTTCCCAAATGGAGGAAGAACAATAGAAGGCAGAGACACAAAAATATAATATCCATGTAGGAAAGAATGAATAGCATATGTTTTGTGAATATAAATAGTGGTAAATATATTGGAAAGGAAAGTTTGCAACCTTGAATGGTTAATAAAATCACTGGAATTTTCCTATGGGCAATGACAAAATATTGAATGTTCAGGGAATCTGAGTAATATAGTCAAAATCATGATTTAAAAGTGTGGTAAGCATATCGCAAAGGAGAGAGAGAAATCAGTCAAAAGAATACTGAAATTGTTGTAGCCAAGACACACTATGTGACTCCTTAGGGGTAGCAGAAGTGTCGAAAGATTGTTTGACCTAGTGCAGAAAGCAATGGGAAAAAAATTGCAGGATCTTAATGTGATCAGATTTTAATTATGAAAAGATACTCTATCTTCCATGAGGTGAAAGGATAACGACAGGAAGAGAGAGAAGGGAATTTATGGAAGTTGTGAATCAAACAGTTAGAAAACAGTTACAGTGATCCAAGTGCTTAGAGAGTGTTAATTTGAGCGGGAGGGTGGTCATAGTGGAGATGGATAGAAGAAGATAGATTTACGATATATCTTTTTTCAGAGTTGAGGTTGGCATTTCTAAATATGTATATTTAGTATGCTAATATAAACATATTTGCAAGCTGATAGAAAGGCCTACAATTGGGAGAGTGGACATGGCTAACAGTATCCAACTGGAGTCGACACAAGTTGAAACCAAGGAAGTCATCCAGTTGAGAACAGAAGCAGGAGAGAACAAAATGATGGGGATGTTTTCACTTACTAGTAGGTGAAAGAACAGCAGTCAGAGAAGGAATCAGAAGGAGCTTTATATGCAGTAGGAAGGAAATGAGGAGAGAATGAAAATCAGAAGAATTTCTAGAAACGGAGATCAACTATAGCATTTTGTTATACATAGGTAGGGTGGGGGTGTCGAAGGGGGGGGGAGA